CAAACACCCTGACCTTGCAGATACTTTATCTGCAGCACTTCAACAAGAGGAAAACTTGGGAGAGGGTGTTGCACAAAAGTTCCAGTTCCAAAACCCAGTCTAGCTTTCCATGTAACAGTGATGTCAACTGCTAATGCCATGTCAAGCACTAATTAGGGCAACTAAAGCACAGGCTGTGCTCTTACAAAGTGTGCAAACTATCAAGGTTAAAACAGGAAATTTATGATGTATGGAAACCCACCTGGTAGTGCCATCGTTCACAGTAATATTCATTTAAGTGGACTCTCCCTGGAGGGAGAGACCTGTAAACATGGGGAACGGAGTATATTGGCAAAATGAATCATGAGGGGCTTTTCAGGTGTATGTAAGAGGATTACATGTGTGGAAAAAGAACGGACAAGGAAGTAAGTCCCTGTGTCTGAAAAGCAAATATATTTAGAGAAATAATCACTGGAATAATGAAATTAAGAGAGAGTGCTAACAACTTTGAAACAACCAGGCCTGGTACTTGGAGCAATTTACCAGGAGGCTCAAGAGGTAAAGAGGCAGCTTTTGAGGAGGGGTGTTAGTGATGTGATGAGGGTCTTTCCTTTCTGACAATTGCTTCTTCCAGAAAAGCCCCCTGAGATTACGTCATAAACTGACGTTTGAAAAATATCTATATTTTCATTCAACAGAATGGCAGAGCTGCCACATTGTGCAATTTATCTTATTTGTTTCTTCAGTTCTTCACAGTGTCTTCTACATGCCTTCTAATAGTATTTGCTGACCAAGGAATGTGTTTTCACTTTAAACCATATTATTTTATATACGTTAACTTCACTCTTGTCTCCTTCTTTAACCACATCAGGAAGAACAGGTGTTTCTCAGTGGTAAGCAGCTAATATTAAGAAATCTTGAGGAAGATGTCTAAATATTTATCATTAACTCACTGAAATTCCATATAGACTGAATGCTGCTTAAATTTAGACATCTCTGAAAAAAAATAGATTTGTCTTCACGTTCTGGACACTTACTTTTCTTTTTAAGATTGGCACCTGAGCTAACATCTGTTGCCAATCTTCTTTTCTTCTTCTTCTTCTTCTTCTTCTCCCCAAAGCCCCCCAGTATATAGTTGTATGTTCTAGCTGTAGGTCCTTCTGGTTGTACTATGTGGGACGCCACCTCAGCATGGCTTGGTGAGTGGTGCCAAGTCCGTGCCCTGGATCTGAACCAGCGAAACCCTGGGCTACCGAAGTGGAGCGTGCAAACTTAACCACTCAGCCATGGGGCCTGCCACTGGACACTTACTTTTCTTAAATGTTTTATTATGGGAATTTTCAGACATCCATAAGAGTACAGAGATTTGTATAAAGAACTTCCATGTCCTCATTACCCAACAACAAATAACACAGGACTAATCCTATTTCATCTATACCCCTCTTCCCAACTGGATTATTTCAAAACAGTCCCAGATATCACCTCATTTCATCTATAAAACTTCAGTATGTATCCCTAAGAGATAAGGGCATTCCCCTTTCAAAACATAATTATAATACCATTAGCACCATTGTCATAAATGAATACCTCTTTAATATCCTTAATAACATCTAATATCCACTGGATGGTCACCTCTCCTGGATTGTCTCATAAATGCCTTTCTACTGTTGGCTTCTTTTAGTCAGTATCCAAACAAGGTCTATGTGTGGCATTTGGATGACACGTTTTTAAGACTGTATTAATCTATTATCGTTCCAATTTCCTCTTTTTTTTCCTTGCTAGATGCAAGGAAATTGTTAAATGTCTTGCTAAATGTGATGGCTTCATCCTAGCATTAGCTGCTACCTAAAGGTAAAACATACATTCATGACAAGGCTTTTTCCTTATGATAGTGGATATACTTTCACATTTCAAAGTCTTGATAATTGCGAATTTTTGGCAGACCTGATCAGACTGCTTTTGTTTTAATTTGCAGTGTGGTTGCTGCAAAGCTCAGACTAGCTCTGCTGCTTTCTTGCTGTTCGCTTCGTTCACGTCATTAGTCTTTAGTTCTGTTTCTTTGCATTAACATTTTACAGGTACCTGTTCAGCTTTTGAGAGTTAACATTTTATGTCTTAAGCCACCCATTTTTTTCATATCCTAACATCTATGAAATTGGTTGCATATTATAACTGATGGTGAGGCATAGTTTAATAGGGGATTCTTCTTTCCTATCTGACTCATAAAACAATGGCGAATCTTACAATCAAAGGAGTTTTACATTTGATTAAATGTACTAGTTTATTTAAACTAGAGGATATAAAGGCCCCTCCCTGTGGAATGTCTACTCTTTCCTCTGAACAGTGGGTAGCCTCTATAGGACAACATACCGAGGGTGGTCAACCAGTCAGAGTTTGAGTGGGACATACAAGCCATTCTCAATCTTCAGAATGGAAGTGGTTTCATACAGAATCAGAAGCTTATATAGCTGCTGGAAGGCAGGGGGACAAGGTGAGGGAGGAAGTTTCCAGAGATCCAGGAGTTCAAGGGTTGCAGGGAAGCTCCCTCAACAGTTTCAGCTTCCTGCAGGACTGAAGTAGGTGAATCGCAAGATGACATGCAGAGGTCGCTGGCAAAATGTACATCTGCCTTCTGCTGAGGCCCATAGGCCTGTCCTTAGCAGCCAAAGGAGGAAAATTCCTTCTCCTTATCTTCCTCCTTCTCAATCATAGAAGAATCTACCCCAGGCTTCTGGTAAGGGAGTGTGGAAAATGCTGCTTCCAGGTTTTATGGCTCTAAGCACAGGGGAGAATTTAGAAGGGCTGGGGTGGTAGCAAGTGTCAACACCCAGCCCTTGGAACACTTCACACTAGTCAATCCATACATTAACTATAAAAGAGCTTAGTTTCTCTCATAGAAATATAAAAGGAACATGTAATATATTCATCCTGCTCCCAGTGGATTGACTTCTGTGCCTCATGGAGTATGTACACCCCAACTCCTGACATCACTAGACTTGGGCAGCCCAGGCCAGCCAAAGGCAGACGGAGCAGTGAGGCCAAAGGTGGGCTGGGGCTTGCAAGGGTCATAAGTCTGCCCCGGCCGCCCCCCTGCCCCTGAGGGATTATTTCCTCAAATGAATGAGCTTACTTAAGTGCTTTGGTTCTTCTTCGGCTGAAGAGCAGGACACAGAATTACTGAAGTATTATGACACTTGTCACTTGGAGCTGACTCACATGCTGTACCACAAGCATTGTGAGGCTCTCCTTTCAATGAACGTTGGGTCACCCCAATTATGTTCTAGGCAGCTTGAGGGGAGGAGCTAGGTCCCTTATTTCTTAAGGATCTCCCCTCAGGGCTAATAGTTCCCCTAAAGCCAGAGGTGTTCCCCTAACACCAGAGTTACCTCTAGGGTGACTCTCGCAGGGAGAGTGGGCAAGCTCTATCTGAGTATGCGCTCACTGTGGAGAGTCACTTTCAAGGTTCAGCTTCATCAAGCTGCTGGGGAAATGTCAGGAGGTAGAGGAAGGGAAAGCTGCGTTCCGAAGGTGGGCCCTTGTTTGCACATCTTGCTCACCCAGAGCCCTCCCTCACTCCCTGGATCAGCCTCAGCAGACTAATACAAGCAAGTCTCAGCATCACACTGTAGAAACAGAAAGGCAAACATGCTTCACTTACACAGCCAACTGTGAGTATGATCCCTTATGTAGCTTGAGAAAGCAGTGCTTTTCCTGACAGTTACATTGTTCCTAGGCATGATGTTTAATTCTGAATTTCTAATATTACAGAAGGGCATGGCTATTTCAAGCTTACAGAGGGGGCTTAGGTTTAAAAGTCTGGGAAGTCCTCCTCTGGAACTTGTACAAGAATTAGACATTCCAGGGGTCAGCCTGTGCCCAAGTGGTTAAGTTCACGTGCTCCGCTTCAGCAGCCCAGGGTTTCACCGGTTCAGATCCAGGGCGTGGACCTATACACTGCTCATCAAGCCATGCTGAGGCAGGGTCCCACAGAGCACAGCCAGAAGGACCTACAACTACAATATACAACTATGTACTGGGGGACTTTGAGGAGATTAAGGGAAAAAAAAAAGACTGGCAATAGATGTTCGCTCAGGTGCCAATCTTTAAAAAAAAACAAAACACTTCGACATTCCAACAATTAGAAATCACATGGATGAAAGACAAAAGCAAATGCTCAATGTGCTGAGAGGGCTTTAGAGCTCAAGTTGCAGAATTCTGCTGGCTACAGTGGGTCCAAGGATGGACTGAGAAGGAAAGATCATTTTAAAAGCCTGGAAAGTTCACAGGAAGACATGGCATGATATTCTCTGGGCTAAAAATTTACAAACCAGACAGTGAACAACAAGTGGTGCTGAATCACCCAAAGTCCCAGACAGCAAACTGACACCTCCATTCCAGGCAGTTGAGCATCATCCCTGGAGCCTCCATTAGGGCTCTATCGTCTCCAATGAACTACAGCGCACGCTGCTGAGAAGAACCAGCACTAAGAGTTTCTGGGTTCCGAGGCATCGAGCAGCAGCTACTGGGGCGGGGTGGGCTGAGGGGTCAGATACTGAAGGCAACTCAACCACAACCTGGAGCCTCTAAGGCTTTCCCACCATGTAAGCCACAAGAGCTGAAGGCATAGGCAAGTATGGCTTCTGGTCCCCAGTGGTAAAAAAGCAGCCAGAATTGCCAGGCAGACGTATGAACTTTGGTGGAACGAGATAACTGGGGGCACTGGCATTTTCCAGTATGCTTGCATCATCAATAACCGTAAGCAACAAATGTTTTGAGCACAGATAAGCTCATTGGTTTAACTTCTTACTGCTCCCCTGGGGTCTCATTTAAGGCCCCTACAAGAGATCAGCCCTCTGCTCCTGGGAATCTGTTTACCCACAGAATGAGGTCAAGGATTACAACTCGAGTATTTGGACATAGAAAACCACAGACTCACTAGAGTGCTTCTTTTTCAATATAACCAATTCAAGCATTAACGTAATACAGTGAAAGTGAGTAAAATGAAATCTGAGGCTTTGACATTAATTGTTGCATTCAACTTTATTATATTTTAAAATCTGAGAACTATAAAACTGTAGTAGTCACACAAACACCTGAGGATTGTTCAACTGGGCAGAGCATCTTCACACAAACAATTTGAGAGAAGACAAAGTTTCAATTAGAATCTTGCCATACAACACAAAAGGAATAACATAAATGAAACTACTCTTTAAATCATATATGCCCAGTAAATAGTTGCATTTGTTTATAAAGTACACTTGGTTCTCCAAAAAAAAAAAAAGAGTACATTCTTGCCCCCAGTGAATACTTTATCAGCATTTATAACAAATGGCTAATACAGTTAGCACCAATTCTCATAGCTTATAAACATTACACCAAATGCGATACAGTATAATGATGTAATAAACAACAGTGAACATGTTTCACTTGTAAGTTCTAATTTTTAAAATAAAGTCCAAAATGACAAATCAGAACTAACATAGCTTCCAAAGTTTAGTAGGATAAATGGCTCAGAAAGCAAATTGACTAGAACAATTGCACAAGACAGAGAACTTCCCTGTATGGAAACCCTGAAGAGTGACCTGAGAGGTACCAGTGACGGCAAATGATGTGCATGTTTTTTACAGAATAAAAACATCTCACTATACACAGAGTTAATCTTTACCTCTGTGGAAGTGCAAAGTGCCATTTTAAACTCAAAAAGAACAGATTTACTTGTGTGTATACTTCAGACATAGAATAAAATGCAAATATGAAACAGGATCCAAATGAGGAATAAACACAGACAATAAAATATATATCTTTTAAAAATTTGGACACAGGCATCTTCGAAGAGAGATGTGAGCAATGAATGCCTAGTTAAATGTCCCAGCTTCAGCAAAATATGGACGTTGTAATACTATGGAAGTTTTAAACTTTAAAAAAGTTATTTCGTTGAAAAGAGCATAGTCAGACTCCATCAAAACCACACTGAAATACAATATCTCCTGCATAAAATGACCATGCTATCTATCTTCTAATGATCAAAAAACTGGTAAGAACACTTCATGAAAGTTTACAAGGTTGTTTTTCTCTAAAAGGGAACAAGCACAACACACAGAGAAATAATGACAGACAGGAAAAGAATTCATATGGCTATTCCCTTTTGGGAAACTGGTAAAACATGAACATTGCAGTAACAGACATAAAATATTTGAGAAAGAGATGATATCTATAGTTGCATCTTTAAATTCTCTTCTAAGGAAAACTTTTCATGGATTTCATTAGAGAACTTGTCAATCCCTGATATTTTCTCATTGGGATTTAGCTGTTTTAACGGAAATCAAAGCTGTTTCTGTTTCCTGAATTAAATATATTTGTACACAATACAATGAAAATAAGAGAAAGTTATAAAGAACAAACTGACAATTTCAATATGCTAATACTAACACGTTAAATGGTTTCTACAGAAGTAGACCAGACTGTAATGCAGCTCTGCAATTCTAGATATAACCTATTTTTAGAGGAACCTTCTAAACAACACAAACTTCTAAGGGTAGAAAAATGATTTTACACTAAGATGGCATTGCTCTCCCGAGAATTAAGTCCAACCTAAACCGGCACAAACGATTTGTCAATTGTTAAAGCAATCTTCTCTTTAAGCCTTTGGATGTAGTGGCACAACTTCACAGTTGTCCCCAGCTTCAGCCCCATGTACTTTATCATCATGTCACTCTGGAGAAGTAGCAGAGCTTTCCCATCAATGTCCTACAGAAAGAAGAAAATCACAATAATTAATGCTTTCATATTTTTACCAGAATGGTTATTTCTTTATACATAAGAACATATAACACCAACTAGAGACTAGCTCATTCCAGATATATATTCTCTGAATATGCATTTGATGAAAACTTTTAAAAATATAATTTATACAGTGAAGCACCATTTATAAATTTGCTTCGAATTTTAAGAAAAAGAAAATTTAATCTAAATCTTAAAAATATTAAGTTAAATATTAAAATAAATTAACTCATTTTAATATTTAAAGATTTAAGATTTTAAAAATGTTAAATCTTTAATAAATCTAAGATTTATTAAAAAATAAATTTTAAAAAATATTTGTCAGAAGGGTCAAACTATCTAATTTTAAATACTGTGTGCTGAATAAAATACTGTACAGCTATGACAAAAAGAATAAAAACTATGAATGGTAGAAATGAATTTCAGACGGTCATTAACTTTCTTAGAAAGACTGGGAATATGAGCAAGTCAGCATCAGTGCAAGCTGCAAATGTGCTACACAGTATGGTCTTGATGTTGAAAGCTCATCAGTTCAGGTGTCCGAAGCTAATTAGATGCTAAAAACTACTGATTTTCTTACCAGATTGAAGAGGATACATCAGATATGTGGCCACTAATTTTATGGATTAAGAAACACTATAAAAATATTACTTGATAGTCACAAGGCATCCTCCTAAAATTATTTATTACATTAATTGACCAACTGATGTTACTGAAGCCTGTTATTTGGTTTTCATGAGTTCTGGTTTAAGAATAAAACTGTACTAAATCATCTATCACTGTCTAAAAAGACCTGAAATCTGTTAAAGTACTGCCTTTGTCAGACACCTTCTATGCTTTTTCTACTAAGCAAACCTAGAAATTAAAGAAATTAGAACTTATAAAACTTAGCCCATGACGTTACTTTGTCAATGCCATGAGGGTATCAGCATCCCAAAATGTAAATAAACATATAACAGAACTGACAATGGAATCAGCTGCTGGATTCACTGAGCATGATAATACGGAGGACAGGACACCCTGTCACAGCTTGTGGTCACCCCCTCCTACTCACGGTCCTGGGGCCGAGCAGGGAGCAGGTGGGGAGGAGGATCCTTGTCCCTGTCCTTACAAAGGAGAAGACACCTGAGACTGGCCATGCTGAATCATCTTCTCTTGAGAACTTGAAGACGTGTAGTATTCTAGGTACCTGGGTACCCATTTAAAGCACAGATCCAGTCTCTACCATCTAAGGATCTAATTTTGGGCAAAGTAACCTTTCTCACATAGGGAAAAATCAGTTGATAGGGTTCCCCCACCATCCACCCTATTCAGTATCCATCTGAAGGGCCTGCACAGAGGTCATTTAAAGGCATTACGGCAGGAAAACCGGATCAAAAGATACATTACATGCTGCCTGAAGAGGTCGGCGAGGTGGTCTGATATCTGAGGATCCATATATTTCAGAAACAGGATCACTTCCTCCACGGACCAAGTTGAAGGGTCATCAGCGAAGCTTTGTCTTAGCATACCCGGGTCAGTTCTAACTGATGAACCTGGAGCTTCAATGGGGGAAAAAAGACAAAATCATACTTGCCCTCACAATCATTATCCTGAAAGAAGAGATGTTAGGTAGGGAGTAATGGTCTCATTCCTGGAACCTTCCGTTAAGTACCCCGGCAAGGACCCAGGACTCCAAGTGTAAAATCCAGTGAAAGCCTAGATGAAGATGACTTGAGGATGGCTACCCAAGAGCATCCCATCTGACCTCCCCCAAACAACAAAAGCAGCTTCAGAAGTCACCATAAAGCTTCAAAGATCACACAACAGACTGAGCAATTGGAGGCCACTTTGGCCACAGGCAAATGTGGAAAAAGATCCATTACCTGGGTTATATTAAATTAATCTATGCTAACCTATTACTCTCTTACTTTGAGTATTTCAATGAATTTCTCTCAATCTCTCTACTCTTGGTCTGTCCAAATTAGTTTTACTTTACTAGCTAATTACAATGAAAATTCTCCAAACTACAGTTTTATAATTGCTTAAATTTACTTGCTTTAACCAATGAATTTCAATAACCCCATCATCTTAGAGAACCAAATTAGTTCTTCTCCTGAATCTCTCTCCTACATTCAATATGGATATTTTTAGCATCACTTTATTCTTTAAATTTCTGTGTCTCCAGTTTAGATGCTTATCTGCATTTTGAAGAAAACAAGATTATTTTCTGCTTAGCTAGGTTAAAAGTAACTTTAATATTATGCTGAATACCTCTTTCAAGTTTTAGTGCATAGCAATAGATATTTTGGTTGAAGGGTTATAAGTTTAAAAAAGAAATAACCAAGACGTGAAACAATTTAAGTGCTTAGACCTCAAAAAGCTTTATCTGTGCTGTTCACTAAGTTGTGCTGAAGTTTCTTTGTGTCCAGACAAGCATTCATTTATTCAACCAGAGCGCTCGACTCTCTAAAGTTAGTGTGTGATAACAGAAGTGAGTTTCATGATTTGCTAGGAAGATGTTTCTTTAACCAAGGACCGTCAACACAAATTGGATCTTTCTTGTGTGTGAATTAGCTGAAGGTGTACCTTTTCTTTCCTATCAACTGGGCTCTGGCCATTTCAGGAGCATTTTCAGTATTTACCCAGGGAAAGGGCAAAGAACAACAGAAGATAAAAGAACTCACAATGGGGTTATTATGAGTGTTAGTGGAGAAGAGGCATGTTGGTTGATTAGCATAGTGCCTGGCACATAGCAGACACTCCCAAAATGTTAGTCACCATTATGAATCTCACCCAAAACCAGCCCTCAAAATAGGAAACAAACAGCTTCCACTAGTGTGCATCAAAGATGTTGAGGAATATACGTTAAATAGTGCTACTTATACGTGTCATTTCACACTCACCCATGCCAGGCGGCATGCAGAGAGATGAGGCAGTAAGGCCAAAGCTGTTATTTTCCAGTAAACTTGGGTAAGCCATCATCTCAGGGTCATGTGCTGGACTGGGTTCGTCTTGGCCCAGCAGGGCTGCAGATCCTGGTGAGGAAGCTTGGGCAGATGAGATGATACTCCTGGTGCTGTGTGCTTCTGGGCTGGCAAAGCAGGGCATGGAGGGGGTGTCCTGCATTGGCTCAGTGGGCGCAAAACATGACGGATATGAATGTGAAGAGAAGATGGAGGCAGGCGACAGATTTTGGCTGAGGCTCTGCTCCAGGTCCTCGGGGAATGACTCCAACACCTGTCCCGGGGACTCCTGTGACTGGTAAGGTGATCCTATAGGGTTGCTATCATAATCAATTTCCGGCCTTTTTACTGGTATAGTCGGGCTATAACTTTCAGGGTAAGAGAACGGAGAAGGAGCCTCCTTCTTCTTCATTTTCTTCAATCTGATCTTTCTACAAAGCAGGTAATTACAAATTTTGTATGAATAGCCAAATTTCTGAAATGACACAAACCATCATAAACCAACTGTGAGTAAAAAAAGGAAATAAAGTAGTAAACACATTAATATTTATTTTCCATGCAACATTCTTTATATAATTAAATATTAATGCTCTATTTTGATTATATTTTTATTCTTCTTCAACCCTACATTGTGATTGCATTTTATAAATTATGGTTACAAACACAATACCCATTGTCATACATTTCTTAAACCTAAACTTCAGCATTTTTCCAACAGTTTTAGTATTCCTTCCGCTGCTACAGCACGCATAGATCAGCCTTGCAATCTCAGAGCTATTAGTTTTCTCTCACTTCTAACTAATTGGCATCTTTAGACACCAGAGGCTTATTATAGTTGTGAAAATATTTTTATAACACTTACGCGACTTTGCCATAATGGTTTCACACGAAAACGCCGGATTTTTGAAACCTTTCCATTAATGACATCAAACTTCTTATCCAGGTTTTGAACAGCATCATAGATCGCCTATTATAATACAAGCTATTAGAAGTTTCTATTTCAAAAGAAAAGTAACATATAAAAAGATAAATAAGCCAAAATTTAAATGGTGGAAACAAAGTTCTCAAGCCGTCACAAATGTCTTGTTTCCCACTTGATGCCTGGTTTTAGGCGACGTGGAGCTGAGCCGGCTGAGGTAAGGAGCCACATCTCCTCCTCAGCTACTCCACGTCATGCCAGCATTTTCAGCTTTGCTACTGGAGAGTCAGCGTACCACAATTCCTGGAAGCCGTCACATTTATGATGGAGGCATTTTACATCAAGGAAGGTGCTATTTTAGGAAAGAAACTTTCAAATCCGCTACAAGGCCAAAGAGCCTCTTTCCATATAATGATGGTATTGAACTAGGCAGTGAGCGTTCCACTCAGGAAAGAACAATGAGCCAAAGAGAATAGATGTGACTTTTGGCTTCAAAGTATTTTACAATCGTGCAATCAACAATGAACCTTAGAAAACCTTTGCGTATACGTCCCTGCATGCCAATCAGGTGTGTGACTGATAAAACCTGAGAATTCTTGAAATACGCAGAAATTTCATTTGGGCAGAAGATACACTTAAGGAAGAGGCCAGAACCACTTCCTCACTCACGCATTCACATAAACATTTACTGAGGGCCCACCACCTGTCAGGGCTACTTTGCTAGATGCTGGGAACACAGACGTTAAAAACAAGGAAAAAGCCAGCTCCTGCCCTAGGAACTCCCACTGTAGCTGGAAAGAGAGACAAGTAAAGAGACAATTTCAACAGAGAAAGTGATCAGCAGCCTGGAGCAGCGGGTCTCAAAGTGTGGTCCGTGGACCAGCAACATCAATATCACCTACTGACTCGGGAACTCTGAGAGTGGGGCGCCGAGATCTGTGTTTTCACAAGCCCTCCAGGTGATTCTGATGCACAGTCAAGTGTGAGACCCACTGGCCTAGAGCACTAAGGTAAACAGCACAGGCTCTAGAGGATGAGGTTGGGTTCAAACACTAGCATTCTGCCCCTTATTAGCTCTGTGACCTTGGGCAAGTTCCTTAACTTCTCTGTGTTTCAATTTCCTCATGTATAGAATCGGGATGAAAATCTCTCTCAGAGTTCTCTGGAGGACAAAGCAAAGTGCTAGAGTATAGTCCCTCCTACATCCTACCCTCTGTACATCCCTCCCCCCAAAAATTGATATGTTCCCTTTAAGCATTTCACTTCTGTTCTCTACAGTAATAATGATAAAACTCATATACACATTTTTTACTTTTCTAAGTATGTTAGCTTATTTTATTCAAGAAACTTTATATGTTAAGAAACACTTTTTAAAAATAAACTTTCCTTAGCTCTAGGGTATGCAGCTCATAAAATACTTGATAATTACATACTTCTATCAATCTCTACCAACATGCTAATTTTTGCAAAATCCCCTCAAAGCTATGTAAGATAGACTCTTTAAAGAACAGTGGTGGGCTGCCATTTTGTTTCAATGGAGATATCCTGATATGCATTTAGGGACATCCTAAATTTCATCCAAATCAGCCAATTTCCTTTAGAGATTTTATAGGGGAAATTAATTTACTACTGAGCAACCTAGATGAAAGAGACATAACTACATTTGATCAGTTTAGGGCTTTTAAAAAAAGCTATAAAATCTACATATTGCTATTTCAAAATTCTCACCTGGAGATGCTATTCTAACTAGAAACTGTTAAAAATCATCACAATGGGATGATAATCATAAATAATTTGATACAGCAAACTTTTAGCTACTTGTATACTTTCTCTTTATATGACATAAAGAGAATTTTAGCTTAATATTTTAGAAAACTACATTTCAGAGACAGAACTTTTGTACCTGGCAATGGTTAAAGACATCCAGAAGTGTTTTTTCTTGCTCTTCGTTGTAGGATGTGTCAGATAGAACACTTTCCTGCTAATATTTTAAAAGTTAAGTAGTTAATGCTTTACTTCTATAAGAGTCAAACTGAACACTAGGAGAAAAAAACACTTTCTATTTATTAAAATTGTTTTCATTTTCCACCAACTTTCCCAAGGGTTTCAGAAGTCTTAATCTGAAGCAGAGACAAAATAAAATAGAAACTCACATTAATATGAGAATGAAAATGATAACTGCGAATTAAGAGAGGGAGTTAGGAAAGAACTGTATCAGGAGGACCTTTAGAGTTTTGTACTAAAAATGAGTAAAAACTACTCCGATTTTCCTACTATATAAGGAAAAGAGGGAAGTAAATGGTTAAGCAAACAAATTCAGGAGAGACTAATATGTTGTTGAGTATGAGTTTAGAGGAACTCCATCGCATTTGAAGAATTTAAATCTTTTTCTTTAAAATGGCTAAGTGTCAATATATTTGGCAAATGGCAATTAACATTACTTACCCTCTTGACATATGCAGGGTTTGGTTCAAATGCATAAAGAACAGTGTCATCATCATGGTCATGAAGAGGTATTCGTGTTTTTATCTAAGGAAGATTTATTAACAAATTAAAAGGAAAGATGGAAGGTATAAGTGAAAGAAAAACTGAGGACTTCAATTACACTTTCAAGAAGCTCCAAAAGCCTGTTTGTGTTATCAAAGGACCTTTGTCCATTGTAAATATGACTACAAGACAAGATGTACCTGCAGAACTGTTTTCTCATTAATCTAACTACACTTAAGACATAATTTTCCATCAAGCTTAACCTCTTGTGTACCTCAGGGTACAAAAACTAGTCTTCTAGTAATCTGGCACCAGAAGGGCTGTAAAAGCAAATGTTTCTAACCACAAACAAAGAACCATGTTACGTGGCTTTTGATTTTTAAATAATTCAACAGTGCCACTCTGTGGACAAAACAGGAAACACTTACGCACCTGTATTTCCTGATAAATTCATCTCTAAATCATCTTAGAACACTTTTTGGAATAAGACAGGGTATAAACAAATTTAGACAGTAAATAACTATTACATCTCATTTAATAACTTTAAGAATGAATCATTAACTATAGAAATAACTTTAAAATAAACATATTTAGAAGCTATGTATGTCTTTGTTTCAAACCACATAACCAAAATAATATGGAATTGGGCTATAGATTAGTACTTATAAAAATATACCATCTTACCCTTGTATAGTGCCTTATGCTTTTCAAAGTGCTTTCCACATAATTATGTCAGAAAAAAATGGCTTAGTAGGCAGTTAACATTATCTCCAAAGATGAAGAATACTGGGACTGATAGAAGTTAAGAGAACTGCCTATACCACTTAGGTGGCATTAATATCCACATCCTCATGTAAGTAAAGAAATGTGTCTTCTGTTAAGCCAAATTACATATAGTTTAATAATCTCTGTTTTTGTTCACCTTCAGGAGTCAAGAAACAACAGAATGTGACAGAAATGTACAACAGCACAACCACTTTGAAAAACTGCTTGGCAGATTCTCATAAAGTTAAAGTTACATCAACCCTATGACCTAGCAATTCAACTCCTGAGTATTTACCCAAAAGAAATGTTAGTATCTGTTCACAAAAACAGTTTACATGAATATTCATAGCAGCTTTATATATCACTGTCAAGACTCATGAACTGTACACTTACTATTTCTGCATTTCACTGAAATTAAATTCAATTTAGAAAAGAAATACAGCACAATGAAAAGAACAAAGACAGATTTTCAATTTGAAATACAAACCACGTCGGCTTCACTGGAGCCACTAGACATCTTTTTTGTGCAACAGGAGTAAGTCCACTTCCTCTGAGTTAGGCCTAATTATTTTTTAACTTGTTGGAGAGTTTATTTGTAAAACTGCTTCGTCAGCTAGGATTGGTAAACCTTCTACTTCTGAAAAGCAATGCATAAAGAAGTTAACTTCACACACTACTACCTTAATAAACTTAATATGGATATGTTCTCAGAATGCCAACTTGAATTGAATCGGAGTCCTGGTTGAATGTTAGAGAGTGACAGAACAAGACATTTTCCATTAGTGATTTCGAATAAATCTTTAATAATTGAAAGGCTATATTGCCCACGTCTAGGAGTAAGAATCAAGACCAAACACAGTTCCAAACTGTGAAGTGGATGCTTCCCAACATGAAGGCTGCAGAGTAAATGCTGGAAACAGATGAACAAGAGGACACGGCTCCTAACTGCTTTTGTCAAGGAGCTCAAAAAGGCTTTTTACTTAGGGAGGCAGCAGGCCTCCAAATGTGAGTCAGCAGTCTATTCTTGGGCCCCCACCACGGTGTGGACTGGGCAGACCACTAAAGACGCCGCCTCCTCACCTGCCAGGTGAAAACTGGTTGAGACTGTCTCTAAGGGCACTTCAGCTCTAACATTAGGATTGCTTCTGTAGCTCCATTTTATATTCAACCTAAATAAATGTATGTGAAATAGAAGCCAAAAAATCTTCTAGAATTATGTAGGCTCAGTTATGGTTCTGAGTCATTTAACTCTGCAACCAGAAAAAGACACTGAGTGCAATGTTATCACATTATATCTTGCAGTAGAGACTGGAAGGCTGGCATCATGGTCCTGGGAGGGGTGCATTAACGTGGGAGCTGATTCCCTTTAGCCATCCTGAGCCAGGGCAGTAATGAGAGGCAGGATGAAGGAAGAATTAACTCCCTAGTTAGATAAATGCAGGCTAATACTGTGGGAAAGAATCAAGTTACAAAATACCTCCAATTTGAGCTGTAGCTTCAACCAAATTTTACTTTTTAGACGTTTAGTTTTTCTGATTATAAGACTAAAACAAGCTATGAACAATTAAATTGTGGTGATTTCATACAAAGGAAGACGACACAGCAATCAGAATAAACCAACTATTGCTACACACAACGAAGACAAATCTCACAACCGTAACATTGAGTAAAAGCCAGACACAAAAGAGTGTATATGAATCAAGTGATCTAAAGCTCAAAAAGAGGCCAAAGTAATCAACTGCGGGAGAAGTCTTTCCAAACCAATACCTTTAGATATACTGCAGTCATTTTAACAGCTTCTTAGTTTCCTATCTTGCAAAATTTAACTAGTTCCCAATCCATGAACATTCATGTCACTTCTAAAGTTTTGCTCTTGCAAAGAAAACTGCAGAGCAGTCTTGCACCTCTACTTGAACTCTCACAGAATGAGAAGAGTGAGTCCAAGTTTCCCAACTGTAACAGTATTTCTTATACTCTCACTGTATTTGTAACATTTTTGTTATATATAGCGAGAGAGAGATAGATGTATATGTATAATTGTTCATTAAATATGATTTCACTATAGAAAATCTGGAATATACCACAAGGCACAGACAATAATATCTAACAGATTTCACTGCTTACTCTGTGCCAGGCAATGTTCTAAGCAGTTCATGTGCAGTGCCATGTCCACACCCGGGATCCGAACCTGCGAACCCTGGGCCGCTGAAGCAGAACATGCAAACTGGCCCCCATTGTAAACAAATTTTAAGTACCAGGACATAGTGCAAAGGACTGGGAGTTAAGAAATACTTGAATCCAAATCCGAATTGCAAAATTTGCTATTTGCTTTAGGCAGGCATTTAACCTCTCTGTGTCTCAATTTCTCAACCTGTAAAGTTGCGACCTGGTACTTCACAGGGTTGTGTAAGACCAAATGACACAGTTAAGCACTTAGCATCATGTCTGGTTTATAGCAGGCACAGCATAAATTTTAGTTCCCTTTCACTTCTTCCCACAAAGTAGATAATTAAAGTTTCTGGAACATTTTCTTAGAGCCCAGCCATGATCAGATTATGCAAAATTAATATAATTCGTTAAATTCAAAATCCTGCAAAGTGAGCTTAAAATGAAGCTCATCTATACCTTACAATAGAAAATCTAAACTCTTGATAACACAAGAACAAGAAGTCATTTGGTGATTTTTTTTGTGAGGAAGATTGTCACTGAGCTAATATCCGTGCCAATCTTGCTCTATTTTGTATGTAGGACGCGCCACAGCATGGCTGCTGACAGACAGCGGTATAGCTCGGCGCCTGGAACCGAACCCCGGCCTGCCTCAGTGGAGGGTGGAACTTAACCACTAGGCCATGAGGCCAACCCCAACCATCTGGTTTTTTAAAAGACATTTTTTAGACATTAAAGATATTGCAAGGACAGTTTTCAAAAGCCATTTAAAGATTTTTGCGCCGAAGGTACAAGGCATTCACTTGCCATAAACTCATCACGAGGGTGAGGGATGAAAACGGTGTTTCACCCGAAAACCACTGCAAGGAACACACAGAAAAACAGGGCAGATTACAACAGCCAGACTGCTCCAAATTTTTTGTTAAACAACTGTGTGTCAATATACTAAACAGTTTCTAAAAATTCTGTCAGGACTCTCAAAAGGAGCCCTTCTGCGGTCCATGACAAACTTTAGAGACTACAAAGTCGACCAGACGGGGGATAATGCCGCCCAACTGTAGCCCACCGCCCATTCGAGCCCATGTCTTGCTTCATAAAACACCATGCAGAAAAGTTGCTTCTAAAATCACGATTTGTAAACATTAAACCAGTTTAAAACCCGAGAGCAGTCCGAATTCGGGGAGAACCAGGCAGAGGAGGGAGGGAAGCGATCCCAACAGACGAAGTTATCAAATGACCGTGCTCAACTTACATCTTTATGCTCTTTCTCCTGGCTTACGTATTTACAGTAAAACAGCGAGGCTGCACTATCTTTGAACAAACGCGGTTACCATCAAAGCCTCGAAATCAACCTCTCAATCTCAAACGATGTTACACGAATCAACTCGCTAGTTTGTCAATTCATTAAACTCAAATTCTATATAAAGTTTGAGAGACTTGGTCGTTCCTCGCCCCGCCCCCGGCCCCGCGCCTCCACCAGGGAAGAGAAAGGATGAAAAAGGATCAACTCGTCCCAGAAAATCAGCACCAAGGACTCACTAAGCAGCCAAATCTCAACAGCTCACAAGCGCTGGCCTCCCTGAAGGGCCAGTGGGAATCACTTCGAACCACCCCTAACCACCTCACCACAGCGCCGCTGAAATGTGAGGGTAGACTCGCCCTTCCCGAAAAGCAAATCCTCTCCCCTCACCCCTCACGCCCCAGAACTCTTCAGCCCTTAAGCCAAATCGCTCCTCAACTGCTCCTCGCGCACACCCGAGGCAAGAAAGTTCACGAAGAGGAAAAAGTGCCGCTGGACAGACCTTTTCTGGCGCCAGAGCCTGCCACACCAGCCTCCGGAGCGTGCGGAAACCAGTCAGCCGTGCCGGCCTTCCCGAGTGGCAGCGGCGAAGACCGTTAACACCTTTCAACCTTCTACAACGGCCCTCGCACCGGAAGTCAGGTCCGACCAAGTGACGCGCCCGCCAAAGTCCCAGGGAAGCTCCCGATCCACCAGTGCACCAGGGACCACCCACGGCGCACAGGTTTCCCACGCAGGTGGCCGGCCGCTGACCAATCAGCGGCCGCTGCCAGACACACCTCGGCCATTAACTGACCAGTCCCGCGGGCGCCTGCGCAGCCCTCGGGGGGCGGGATGTTGCTAGGGAGACAGCCGAGGGGAGGGGCTTTGCTTTTCACTGCGCGGCTGCAGTGTCCGCCTCCGGGCGCTCGCGTCGGAGCTCAGGTTTCCATTCGCGGAGTCTGGTGGGATTGGAGCCCACCCGTAGACCACAGACGCGAACCTCCAATACTGAGAGGGGTTTCTGGGGCTGCGCAGCAGTGCGGGCGTGCGCGCGACTCTTCTGGCGGGAGTGAGGTACTTAGGCGTGTTGCCTCCCTGCTGTCGTTGGTTAGTTCATTGAAGCTTTTTTTTTTCAATGTAATTCCTTCCCTGCTCCCCCGCCCCCCGCCCGCCACTGACGTCGACGTTGACTCCATCCTAAGTGTGCACGTCAGTGCTGGAATTTGAAAGGAGAGAGGAGCAGGGCCTTAGCAATGGAACTTAGCAATCGTGTTTTGGTACTAACAGGGGAAAACTTATTTTAAAAAGTTGTTACCTCTCCACACAGACCTTGGAGCCAGATTTGCTGGGTTTGAAGCCCAGCCCCAACACTTAGTCGCTCTATGGCTTTAGGCAAGTCAAGTGATGGCTGTGTGCTTAACTTTTCCCATCTGTAAAATGGGCACAATGTGGGGAGTACATGAATTAGAGTAAGCAAAGCACTTAGAACAGTATCTGGGACATAAATTTGTTATGTAGTAGAGGGTGCAGGACACTATTTAGTGGCATACTGTCTTATGTATATCGAGGCTGCCCATCTTGGAAAGGAGGCACAATCTGAGTAATTATCAGAAGCAAAGCAGGTGAGTATTCCAGAGTAAAGCCATAAATCTTTTCCTGGCCCACAGAGGAGCTGCAAGGAAGGTATACAGGACATTGGAACTGTATTCTTTCTCCTCTCAAATACAAAACTAGATTAGAGCCCATTATAGAGACAATATTTATTATTTTGCCCCTACTTTTGCTATAGCACTGCCTCTCCTTTATGTCCAGTTCCCTGTGAAACACTTGCTGTCCGTGAAACCCCAAGAATGCAATTACATAACAATGAAGAGAGAAACCAGTTGTTTAATTGCAGTCACGTTTATTTGCAGTTTCTATACACACTTTCTAGGTAATCAAACTTTTCTGGTACATTTTTTTGAGAGGGGTTCACAACGAAACTGTCACCATTTTTACTAAAAATAAATACAAGACTTAAAGTGTTGCACAGCTCTAAAATATACAAAGGCTTGAATTGAATGTAAACGTTGAAAACATCTTACAAAAGAAACCATTTTTGCAACGATTTAAAAAGTTCATATTTACAAATATTACAAAAATACAAAATGGATGCAAGTCCATAAACCATTGTCTTTTCGGCCAGCATGAACTGGTTCTAGTACCGAAATAGTTACACTGTAACCTTCTTCATAGTTTTAAATCTTTGTCATGATCTAGTTCTCTAAGTCTGCCACCACTGCAGCAAATGTACTCACTCACTGACCTTTGGCAAGAGCAAACGGTGTGTTTTGTTTGCTACAACTAGTCCATGTCCTCTACTTAGCCAAAAAAAATCAAAAAGTAAGGGAAAAAATTTTCCCCACACAACATAGACATGTTGTATAAACAAAAGAACTAAAAATCAGCATCAGTGCAAACAGAAGAAAAGTTTGGATTGATGTTTTCACAATACCTAACGTGTGTGCCCTGCTTCAAGACGGTAGTGACGCTGAAGACAGCCCTCTAAATCTTGGTTTTATATGCTATGTAATAAAGTCATGTAAACTCTTCCAGATTACTAAGGGATTTCTTGCTTTTTTACTCAGTTTGTTACTCACTACTCTTTTCCACAGTGAATTTAAAATCCATCTTTATTTGGGTTTTTTTAAATCTATGAAATATAAAATAGAGAAACTCTGCTATAGATTTTTAGAGTAAACAAAATAAGTAAAACTATGTTATAAGGGTTAGTTCTGTGATCATTACATATAGAAGGTATCTTATTGCCTCACAATTCAAGTCAATATGTATTTTTAAATATATATGGTACCATTACTTAAATTAATGTCAATAATAAAAAGGTGACATATTTATTAAACCAATTCATGTGTTTTCTATTCAAGATTTAGAATCATTTTTAAAGCCCATATACCTTTCTTTACGCTTAAAAAACTCCTAACTACACAAAAGCCATACTGCAAACGAACTGCTTTTATGAAAGTTACAAAAGATCACCTATTGTGACTGGAAATGACTGTTTCTTATCACATTTGTCTAAAAACTTTACTTTTAAAATTTTGCCAAGTGTACTTTTCAAAGCATGAGAAAAGTTCTTCATGTTCCCATGTGGTGTTAAACCATGCTGGTTTTCTTAACTAATGGGTTCCAATGAGAAATGATGGTCTATGTTTTCAAACCCCCAAACATTTTTCATTTGATAAAAAGTATAACACTTTGTAAATGTTCGAATGTACCCTTTACCAAGTAGCTTATCTATCCTAGCACAAGCTCTCTCACACACACACACACACACACACACACATTCTCCCTGCTCTACCCCACCACCCCCAGCACCCATTTTACATATAAGGATGACTAGAAATTAAGAAACACAATTTGATCATGAAAACAAATAGTAGAAGAAGCCATACTTTTTTCTTTCCAAACAAACCAACAGCAATCAGATTCTCTAATTCTTATCTGTAACATCTTAGAAAGTGTTTCTATTAAAAGACAGCATCTTCTTAGACCAGGCTTTCTCCTTCATATTGCATGAATTAAACCAAAACCACAAACCCCCTTCCACACATCCTACTTTCCCAAATACCACTTGCATAAGCTTAAAGCCAGCCGCTTATCAATTTCTTAGTAACTCTGGTATGTTCTATCATTCTAATCACATTCTATTCTTGTATAGGCCACATCCCTTCTTGGTTCTTTCTACTTTCTACCTTCTCCCATTCAAAACATATTCTAAGTACATAGCTGCTTATATTTCTGACATATCATTTCAAACATTAGTATCAGTTCATGTTAAAATCAGAGGTGTAAAAACCATTTGCAGATTTCAACTTGTAACTACATTTTTTTCAGTTTTAAGACAAGAAAATTCAAGTAATTTCAAGTAATTCAGCTTGTTTCCCTGCCTTCATTTTATCAGAGCACTTGCCCTGACATTTCCTCTCCCACCCGCCACCCCTCCCCTTTTGCCATCAAGCAGATATAGTAAAATCAGACAAAAACTCAGTTGCATGTAGCATTGTGAACCAGAGCTGTTCCCCATTCCCAGTTTAACAGCGAATATAAATAATGCATATACACATACCTATTTCCCAACTACGTTGTTCACAGTGTCATTTCTGTTCATTTGTAGGTAGCATGAATCTCATAAGCACAGAGAGCTTCACTGAAAACTCACTGCAGGTACTGACTGATAAATCAACAGCTCTGTGGCATGCTTATGTTTTACTTTTGTTAGTTAAAAAACCTGGAGCTCATTGCTAAACTGTTTAAGGAGTTTAAAGATTATAGTCATTAGATTATGACTGTTTATGTCCCCAGTAGCCTAATATAAAACATAACCTAAAATTAGCTATTGTTGTCCCTACTCATTCTCTTTAAAGCAATCCGCTGAAAAATTAAAGTCTAAAGGACACTGTCAAATGCTGTTGTTCAGGGCTTTGTGTTGAGAACGAGATTTCTCTCATTGATTTAAAAGAAAAATCAAAAGCATGCTTTTCATTCTGTCCGAATCACCACGTGGCCAATCACAGCCACATGTTACTATTAGCTTGTTGGGTGCTGCAATTTGTCACAAAAATGGTTAGGTCTGAATTCATTATTTTAAATTAATCACACTCCATATATGACCTCAGGATTTCCTTTATTTCACCACTTTAAGATTCATATTGAGGTTTATCACTCAGAAATCATATTGGTGGACATTTAAATATGGTATTTGATATGAAAATGGTATTCACAGAATACAATTATTACACTTTATTTGTTGTGTTCTATAAACAGTTGGTGTGTGGTAGATAATTGGCCACATGTCCACTCATCATTGATAAATCTATTTACACATTTTTATCAAAAATATGGTATTTACATGTGTGTAGTTCTTTCTTCTAAATTTTGCTTTAGTTCATTTTAATGTAAAAAAATACCAAACCTCCAGAGTAATTTCATCTTAAGAATTATGACAGTGAGGGCTTTGTTTTCTGAATAGGCAGCTCTGGGAAATCTTTTTCTAAGTTCCACGAAAAGCAGACATTTTCGAATTCTATATTATCAAAAGGAATGAGATTGGATAAATCAAACTAAGCTAAAGAAAAATATGAAAGACAGTGCAGCTACTTAAAAACATGGAAAATAATCAAGAAAGATCAAACCACCTTCCGCTTCCCCAGCAAATATTTAGGAATTCATTGGTAAGCAGTGATGGTACCCCATGGTGTCCTGACTTCTCCCAAGTCCTCTGTGCTATTCCTCCGTCCTCATATAGCTAAGGGTTTTGGCCTTTGACAGCCAGCCTGGCACAGGCCACTTATGTTGAACTCTGGGAGGATCGGTCGTCGTGCGGGCTTCCGTCAGAATTTTCCGTCTCGCCCTCAGAGATGGCCTGCATGGGTGCGTTGTACAGCCTGCAGCGGACACTGTAGCGGCTGCTGCTGGCTGCAGGGGGTGCCCGGGAACGTCCAACCCTTGCCGATGCTGAGGTGGCAAAATTCTTTGAGGAAAACCCTTCTGCATTAACTCGCGGGGTGCATGGAGAGAGTGGGGACAGTGCCTCGGCCCCAGGCGCCCCCTGATGGGCCTCATGGGTGCTTTGGGGGGACTCGGCTGTGAGCTCCCCAGGAGGTTTGGGCAGGATGGGACTCTTCAGGATCTCGGTAGCAGACATACGGTAACTGGAATCCGAGCGACTGCCTTTCTTGAGGAGTAACAGCTTAAACTCTTCGTTCGATGTGTTGGACTTTTTGGCATTTCGGTAGATGAGGCCAGGAGACCTCTGGCTGTTTGGGGTGGTCACATTGCTGTTAGGTGAAGTGACGGAGCCAGTGCTGCTGCTGCTGCTGCTGCTGCTGCCAAGGGAAGCTCTTGATTTGCTTCGAACAGACATGTCCCCAGAATCTTTTCTTCCAAGTACTTTCCTCTTGGACCTTTTAAGAAAAGGAAATATCTCAAACCACATGCACTTTTATGAAACTACAAGTGTTGAGTCACATTCACGCATCTCCTTAAAGAGTATTTTGGTGCACCCTATCCGATAAAAATACTAAGCATTTGGCTGTGGGGAAGAGGAGTCAGATACGTCCCTCGCCCTTATTTCACTCACAGCCTGTGGGAAATTCTCCGATAACCAGTGGACATAAATTAGGTTCTGGAAACGACCATTTCAAATAATGACTAATGTGAAGGCTAGAGGTTCTAGAGGAGGACTTATTGGGATGTTTTATAAGAGTATAAGAAAATACTGCTATCTCACTTCTGGTTAGAGTGTAGGTAGTGAAGGACTGTAGCTTTCTCTCATTAAATCTGTCTCTGCAACACAGATAAAATGCTCTGATGTCTGGGGTTGGCTTCCAATGAAAACCAGAAGACCAAAGTGGATGGAGGTATGGATGGAACAAGATTTGCCATAGGTTGATGGTTGATAGGCTTGGGTGATAGACATGTGTGTCGGGGTTGGGGGTGGGTGGTGCATTACACTATTCTGTCTACTTTATAAGTTCCTCTATATAAAAAAATTTCTTACACGACTTTTTAATTGTCAATCCATTTTTGGCTGCAAATACCATTTTTCATTGCTGCCTAGGAACATCAACAGTGTATTAATCAGTAAGCCAGTTTTCTGTGAGGAGCTAAAAATCTGGACCACCTCTGGAGCTCTTAAAGCTCTGTATACTGTAAGCTCTCAAGAAAACAAAATCATTCCTGTCACTGCGCTGCACATAAATAAATAAATCCTACACAAATGCAAATCTAAGATTACGAAACTCAGTGTCTACCAAACCTAGGCACCCATCATCATATTATTTCTTTTGATAAGTAAACAGGCGTAAATTGAATCTTCATTGTGACTCAGTTCATTGATAACTATTGGCAACAAGCTCTCTCACCAACCTCAAAATCCACAGAGTAGAGAAAATGTCAGCTTTCCAATTGGAGACCAGCCTGATTTTGGTTCACTGAAACCCTTGTGGCTGTTGTCTTGCATATGCCAGTGTTTGGCACTCCAATAGGGTAGAAGTTTCCAACTAACATTGACTTTTAGCACCTACCATTATTCTGAACACTAAAATGTTATTTTATCATCAGAACTGAATATGTGAGCTTTAGGTATCCCCATTTACATTAAGGGGATAGGTACAGAGGTTTTAACTGACTCAAGACTGGATAGGAAGTGGCAGTGTTGAGATTCAATTCCAGGTCTTTCTGACTCCACTACTTATGTTCTACCCACTATTACAGACACTAGCATTTGGTTCTGTGGGGCAAGAACTTGGTTCTTTAACTTATATAGCATTTTAGTAACTCGTCCTAAGGTTGAGGATAAATTGTAGGGGCAAGGGGAATATAATTGGAGCTTAGACTACACACAGGGGCAAATAAAACTAAACTAATGATTCTTTACTGTCTGAGAGGAGAAGTGTGCCTGCTAAGGTATACACACAAGGCATTGCTGATTGGCTCCTTTAAAAAGGTGTTGAAGAGTAGTGCTCCTTCTTTACAAGAGAACCACATCAACAGAAAACACAAGTTCCCTTAACAGGTAGAATCCCAGGAAAAATGATGGCAAGCTGCCTGCAAAGAGCTTGCTTCAAAAAGTTTAACTTTATGAGGTAGCAAAGACAGTCCCCACGTTTTGTCTCTTGGGAGTCCCATCTAGGTCACCAAGCTCTAGTGGAAGAGGGCAGTCACGGTTGTGAAAGGAGCAGGCACATCAGGATTGGATAGTTGAGTTGGATTGGGTTTAGTTTCCAAGAGCTAGTTCTTGCTCTGTTCTTCAGACACAGGCTGTGAGGAGCGTTCTTGCAAATATGGGACTTGATCACAAGGGTGCAGAGGGCAGATGAGAGAATGTGAACGGGCAGTATGGACCCTACGCTGTCCTGGAAAAGCAGCGCAGAGGACATCCCCTGTCAGTGGGATATGGAGCCTATGTTATGTTAGAAGGCCTGTGTTATTAAAGAAATTTAAGTTTTAGGAAAAGAGGGAAAAAAGGGAGCAGTGATTAGTTGTTCTGAGCTATGAAAAGGGCAGGCTTATACACTGTTTTGTCTCAACCTTGGAGCTCTGACGGTTTCGTGAATCAACTGACATTTATCTCTGCTAGTGTAGGATTACAGCTATGAGCATGGTTTTTAGGTTCAGGAAATTATTTAAAAGTCAGAGATTACACTAGAGTTTGAGCTTTCACTCTAAGTTGCTTAACCACAAATTGTTTTCAAATAAAAATCTGATTCAGAATGTATTTTCTAGGAAAAAAAATCTTCTCTCAACAATTCTTATGAAAGTCTCTCAATTGAGGTCTATCTATATATGAAGATTCATATTTCCCAACTTGAATATGTCTATCAGTTTGATCTGGAAAAATAACTTTTCTTTGCTTGCTTTTGTTTTTTGCTGAATGTATTACAAATACACAAGGCTTTCCCATATTTGCATTTGACAGAAGCATTTGTTTCTTAAGGAGCAAAACCTTTGGTATCGTTACCTCACCTGTGAATGACTGCAAATAAATCCTCAGTTGTTCGAGGTTTGTTTGGAGACACGAACACACCTTCTGCTTCAGCCTGAGAGTCTTCACTAAGTGGTGAAATCAGAGAGTCATCACTCGGTGACGATTCTTAAATTAAGAACAAAAACCATCTTTAGGCAAGTTACCCGGCACACTGCTGCGCTTCACTGATTCAGGGAAAAAATAAACAACAGTTACCTCACTGCCATTTTTTAAATGAGAGAGATATCTGTCACAGCTTAGTCCCTCAATAACAAAAGGTTTTATCTCAATTGGTTTTTTTGTTGTTGTTTTTAAAGATTTTATTTTTCCTTTTTCTCCCCAAAGCCCCCTGGTACACAGTTGTGTATTTTTAGTTGTGGGTCCTTCTGGTTGTGGCATGCGGGATGCTGCCTCAGCGTGGCCTGATGAGCGGTACCATGTCTGCGCCCGGGATCTGAACCTGTGAAACCCTGGGCTGCCGAAGCGGAGCGCGCGAACTTAATCGCTTGGCCACAGGGCCGGCCCCTCAATTGTTTTAATAAGTGAAGAGAAATAGTGGAGGGAAACCAATACTCAGGGCTGTAATGTGTTATAGGGAATGTAAGGAAGAAAAACTTCAGAAAGTACCATGAGACACCTTTCCATTGTGACAAAGTTATCAACCACTGACCTTTCAATGAAGTGTCATCCACACCTCCGTGGGTCTCCTCTGCTCCGCTGTTATCAGAGGCACTTTTGGCTGAAATACCTGAAGCAATATTTTCCTGCTCGGAACATTTTTCAGGGCATGAATTTGCAGTTGATATCTCTGCTTTGTAGCTGATATTCCCAGGCACTTTGTCATGGTGGCGGCTCATCCCCAGTTGATGTTTAAGTTGATTGCTTATGTCTGTCACTCTAGTTGGGGAGTTTGACTGAGATGTGAGCACATCCACAGACTCAGGGTGTGCAACTTCCTCCCGATCTACAGAGGATGCCTTCTGGACCTGTGCCAGGGCTCCATCTGGACCAGCTTCATATTGGAGTATTTTGCCATCCAAGTCATTTGGGCGGGCAGCAGAGACCCTCTGAAATCCTTCTGTGGGAAAGTCACCATTTTTGCTTGGTGTGTTTTCTGGAATAGGCTCACTCTCCATGTGTATTTGGTCTTTTGTGACACTTGAATCTAGAAGATTGCTGCCAGCTGAGGTTACTGTTTCTGGATCACAATGATTCTTCACATCAAAAGTACAGTTTTTTTCTAACTGTAGTTTATCTGGTCCCATTTCCACTGCAGAGGAGTCTAAAAAGGACAGTATGGTGTCTTCAGTGGAGTACTGACGTGATAGTGATTTCTTAGCCATATGTGGCCTAATCTTACCTGGAGACAGGGCAGCCATTGTGAGAGTGCTTTCCTCTAAGTAGGGGAGATCTGTATTGTTGCCTTCTTTTTGCTTAACTTCTTCAGACTTACTGATGGACCTAAGGTTAACAGATTTCAGGACTGTCGGTGTAATTGCAAGGGACGGTGGAGGATTTGACCTCAGTGTGTCTCCTACTGTGTTCTGCTTATTATGACTAAAAACATGCAATGGGTGACGGTGGTGGAATGGTTTATTCAAGACGTTATGAAGAGCACTTAGGTCAAGATGGGTAGGAGGTATAATTGGAAGTTCAAGATCTTTACTCAGTGATAGAGCTCCATCTTTTAAAGAGGGTTGCTGTAGTGAGGATTTCCTTTCTGGGACTTTCGGTTTTCTTTTGCTACCTCCAGGAGACAATGGACCAGAAAAGAAAGCTGTAGGGAAAGAGGATGTTGGCGTTTCAGACTGGCTTGAGTAGCCACTTGATGGAGATGCCAAGCCAGCCAGCTTTTCTGGTGAAGCCAGTTTAAACTCATTGTCAACAGAAGGAAGGGATGGGGTGGTGGCTCTTGATTCTGACTGGGATGTTTGGGATTCAGAGCTCTCTGGAGATTTGATGCATTCGATAACTGTGGTACCCGTAGCAGTGCTTGAATTAGATAAAGATCTGTAAGGATCATTTGTTTTCAAGTCATTTAGAAGCCAGAGGTCTGCATAGTGAGTTGATTCAGCACCTTCATCTTTGAATGGTGGAATATCTGAAGTGTCTAACTGAGGTTCCTTAATACCATGTTCACTCTGGTTCATCCAAGAAGGTTCCTGCTTGGTGGGAAGACTGGCATTTTCCATTCGAGAAGGCGTGTTGGAGAAATCAAGAGGCAGCTTCATTTCCCTGGAACTATGAGGCGGGAGCTGGCCACTGCTTATCTTTGGTTCTTTCTTCTCAGAAATGTCTGCATTTCCATCGGACTTCCTCAGCGATGAGCTACGTTTTGGTGGGGTCGGCTTTGCCTTTGGTTTCCTGAAAGAGATGCTTGGTCTCCCTTGCTTCCTGTGGTCTAAGTAGTCCTGCCAGGCACAGTCCGGAAGAGTAGGAGGGATCCCAATGCCCTGGCCATTCTCTGGGCCCAGGGCTGCATAGTGACAGACATAACTCTTACTACCTTTGAGACCACAGTCAAAGTGCATGGAGGTGTAGTATCCTTCTGTGTCCACCGAAAAGTGAGAGCTAGTGTCTGCTTTGTCTGATGGAGACTTTTCCAGAAAGCTGTCGTAAGTGGCCATGCTCGTGAAGCTAGGGCAGCCCAGGCTGTCTGCCTTGGGGCGCTCAGGACTAAAATCCTGGCGACAGGAGGCATCATGATGGTGATGTAGATAATTCCACTCACTGTCACTTGTGTTGCTATTGTTGGGGTCATCCAGCAGATCTGCCACAGTGGAGGTAAAGGAGTTTGCCCGGTGGCCTCTCACTTTATCCAGATGGTCATTGTACTGTTCTGTCACAAAGACACTGGTGTCCTCATTAGCATGAGGAGCTGTGTTTAGTGACAACTCTGAGTCACAGTGCGAAGAGCCAGTGAGGGGAGGAGAAGCTGCAGGAGGGATTGTCTCTGAGGTCTGTGAGGGGCATGTGGAGCTGCTCCCACTCCAGTTGCCACTGGATGACTGGTGGTCGTCCTTCTGGTCCATGTGGCTGCTGAGGAGGACACCAGCTGTGGAGATGCAGTGGATGGGGCTCCCAAAGGTGTCTGAGTTGGAGGAGATGTCACAGCTGCCAGAGTCGGTAGCCATTCGGGACAGACGTGACCTCCCTCTCTCACTTAACTTGTGCTGGGGGCTGTGAAGATGTTGCGAACAGGACAGGCCCAAAGCAGGCTGGTGTTCCTGTGCACTTGGACTGCTGGGAGCCTCGCTGCAATCATTAGAGGTTCTTTCTCGGTCGCCCACAAAAGGCTCCCCCTCTTCATATGCTGAGGGTTTAGCACCAACTTTAGGCTCAGCATCCCCACCTCTATTGCCCTCCCGGGGAAGGCTCCGAGATCTTGTGCGGCTGCTCACTGCAGTAGTAAACATGGTGTCGCCTTTGTCTGCCAATGCAGAAATGTTGCCAGCGGAATGAGAAAGGGAAGCTGCAATGCTTTGACCCCTCTGAGCTCTGATTCTCCTTCTGGATGGAGCAGCAATCAGAATATCCTCAGTTTGGCACTCTGAGTCTCTGGTTCCAGACCTCCTATTGGCAGTGTTGGAAGGGTCTGGATTTGTGTGCACAATCACATTCCTTTCCCTGGCCACGGGCGATTCATCAGAATCTAGGGCACATGGAAAGCACAGATATTTTTTACATCAGCAGACTAACAGACATTCTGAGAGATGCTCACAAATCTGAGTGCTGGCCTGTTGGAGTTTTTTCTCACAGAAAAAAATTAGCATATAAAGTTAAGAGAAAGTTAAAATGCTTTGGAGAATCTCTCTCCCTCTGCCTTTCTGTCTCTGTCTCTTTCTCTCTATACACACACACAAACACACACACACACACTATATATGTATGTATGTGTGTATGTAGACTAAGAGAAGATACGCTTTTCGATCTTTTGTGAATTCTCTCTCTCTTCACTATCAAATTACCGTGCCCCAATAAGAGACTACGATATTTTTTAACTAAAGTACATTTTATCTTCTTGGCCACTATTCATTTTTATTTTGTAATATAAACATAACAAAATAAAAATCATAGAATTAATTATAAGAAATAAAAATCTTATTTACAAGAGATGCTACAATAATAATAATAATAAACCATAGGAAGAGATATCCTAATCACATGGAACAGAAAAAACAGGAAAAAAATGTCACCAAGGGTATCATATTATCCATATTCAATATTTAATTGAGTATGCTTGAAATTTACCTTTTAAAATAGTGCTATAAAAGTATACCTTTATTTGAATAAGGTATACTTTTCTAAAAGATTCTTTTATTGACTCTTGTTAGTTTTTATTCATAATTTCAACCTTAATAATTTTTTTAAAAATAGCAAAATATTACATTTTAGCTATAAGACCTGAACATATATGCCTAAATCCATAAGGTCAAACCTTCACAGTCAAGAATAGAGATTTAAAAAGTAATACCACCTGGCTTGCTGAACATAAAAGAAGTACACCCCATTTCAAAACCTCTACAAGTTACAACATTGACAATTTCTAAGGAAGCTGGTTGAAGGCCGGCTTCTATTTCATCTCCTTATAGTTAGCACCCGACAGAATGTTAACCGTTAACAGTTTTATACCACACCTATTTCTTGTTGGACTCTTCTGGGGATACCCGAGATGGTTTTCCTCCTCCTCAGTTTTCGTCTCCGCTGTAGTACGGATTGTGAATGAACAAGAGAGCAGCGTATACTAGCCTCTCTGTCAAAACCAACTCCTGCAACCCACAAATAGGTCTCATTAGCCTTTAGAAATGGCAAACAAATTTTCATTTGCTTGGAACACAGTGATATTTATTGATTGGAAGTAAAGGAAGAGTTTGGATTAAGCCTGTGAACAAATATAAGGGAGCCCTTATTCAGCTCTTATTTAAATTATGCTGCAGTACATTAAGCTTTACTTCTAAATGCAGCTCTCCACGGCAGCTTACACTGCCAAAAGTAACAAGCAAAGAAGGAAAATCAAAAGAAAGAGGAGAGAAAAATAACATCAAAGAATCCCTGTCACACAGAAATGGCTCCTTAAGGACTTCCAACCTTTAGTTACTACTATTTACCGGTCTACTTCTGGGCTCTCTGAAGCTGATATCTTTGCATAGTAGATCCGTAGCCAAGATGTTAATCTGAATTAGTTCAGCTAACATATCCTTACCCATTTCTTCATTAAAAGCATCTTTGTGAGTTTTTTCCCCCTCTACCCACTATGCCCAAACCCTCCACACACACATACACACGCTTGCTGTGAGGAAAAAGCCTAGAGATTTGTTTTTTAAATCATCATGTAACTCTGTCTACTTTCTAAATTGGACATTTTTTGGTTTAGTGCCAGTGTCTTATCAATATAAAATAAAAATACAAGATAGTTTCCAGCTCTGCACTTAAGTGGATCTACCTTCTGTATCACCTCTAAATAAAGCTGGAATCCCCAGTCTTTATGTGTGTCTGTTTGCTTTTGTACATACAGGGGGCAAACCATGATGCTTGTTAGTTTCTCCCCATAATTACGTTATTGACCCGCTACATGCAACCCGATCAAAACTAGAACATTGCGGGAGGAGGTGAGGAACTCAAATTCCTTTCTGGCACAGGCACGCACCATGGATTTTTCAGAGCGAGCTTTGCCTCAGAAAGCCATGATTAAAAAAGAGCTTTGGAAGCTGGTTGCCTCATCATTTATCCTGATTATTAAGCATGGGGCAGGATGGCATGTTAAACCTTGGTTCAGCTATATAATGAAGCAGTTTGAGTTCTGCTTAGCATCACAGTGACAACAGTTGCTAGAACTCACTTTGAAAAATCTATATGAGATACTACATGATGAATAATTACAAAATTATCGGAGAATTTGTACTAATGGAATTTTCCTTTCTTAGTTCCAACCAAAAATTAAAATCCTTCACTCTAGTCGTAATAATCATGGCATACAGACACTATGTGTTATATGGACATAATTAACAACTTTCTCATTAAAGCTCTTGAAATCAACGTATAATCTAGGCTTTAATCTGAGTCCCTGAAATAAAGCAGAAGGAAAGATCTTCCCTTTTCCTGAATCACAAGACCCATAATCAAAGAACTAAATTTGAAAACAAGATTTTACTTACAGTGCCATGAAGAAAGCAGGTGCTGCTAATAATCAGATGTTCCAAGAACTGAAAGTTAGTTTAAGGGATGCCAAAATGATCCATTTTGACAGCTGAACTCCCCTAATCCATCCCATTTAGATTACGTAGATCAGATAAAGTGCACATCCTTAGAACAATTTATCCTACAAGTTGAATAGGTCATCAGGAAAATTAACTCCCTGCTCACAATCAGCAGATCAACCAGCACTCCTTTTCTTCAGGAAGGAAATAATATCTATCCCAGATACCTCATCATCATTTGCTGCCACTTTATGTGAGCAAAATTTGAGTGGGGTTAATAATAGCTGTGTCCAAAATGCATCTCAAGCGACATGCAATCTTTGGTCACATGGTCCCAGGATGAAAATCAGTCATGATATGGCCATTTTGAAATTTCCAATATATAAATAAGTTAAAATATAACTATTAGAGATGTTTAAAGAAAGCCCAATGGATAGATCATTTAATTTGTATCTTTGAAAGTTAGAATATTTTATAACATTGTTTTACTTACAACTAAGATTACCAGATCCAATTCTGGAATTTACAATTGCTCCCAATAAAGTTTTCAAGAAAAGTCTGGAAAGGCTTGCATTCAATCTAGACTAATATTCAAACTCTCAGTACATAGGAGGAGGAAAACAGAGAGTGAACGGAAGACAGTCTTGCTGGGTTGAGAGTAGAATTCAGACTTTATCTATGAATCCATATATTTTTAGGTCAAAAATTCCTAAAATCAATGCGGAAGTCTAAGCAATCTTTTAAACAAGCCTACCTTCATCCAAGGAAGCATGAAAACAGATTTTATAGTTGGTCTACAGGATCATTACTTGCGGTTTTAGAAACCTGGGGTTTGCTGTTTCCTTTCTTGCAGTGCCTCGCATCATTATCATATGATTAATCACTGCCGCTTTCTCCATTATTTCAGTCAGCCATGGCCAAAGAGCTATTTGGTGACTTTTTTTTCAAAAAGAAAATGTCCATCATTTACATAACAAGTGGCCCAGCAGAACATATGCAAATTGATGTTCAAAACCTGACAAAAGCATATTGAGCATCATCTGGTTGTATTCCGATGAAAAAAGTATTACTTGCTTACAAATTGGTGTTCTTAACTGGTATGCCCAGCAGCACAGGTTTTAAACATATTTAATAGACAGAATACTCTGACCCAACTGCCCCTAAGAAAAGAACAGAACAATACCGGTGACATTGATGGGAATAATGCAAGAAGAAATCACTTGAGCATCTTGTTTCATCTTCTCCTCTGGCGTCGGGAGAGGTAGTGCTTTGCTCCAGTTGGTCTGCTTGTCCAGTGTCGAGGGGATATTGTGTACTGGGTTTTTCGGCCTCTGCCCTAACATGACATCTGTATCTTCATCCTCTGGGGGATGGGACTGCAAATGAAGTACATTCAGACTCAGCCATCATGGTTACACATAAGCACAGATATGAGGAATTTTATAGTTTAGTTAAGAAAAATGAAGTCAGAAATAAGCTTTTAGGTCAAAGGAAGAATTCCTAGAAATAGTTAGTAGGCACAACTCATTGAAAGTTATAATTTCAATAGTCAAGCGACAGAAAAGGGGAAAAAAATGGGCTAAGTAAACAAGCTTTTAAGGTCAAGTGGAATTAAGAGGAGAGACAAGGTAGCCAGAAATCCTCAAACTTAAAACTGAAGAAAAATGTGAGTCTCCAACCCAATGAAAGGTAGATCCACTTTCTGGATCTCCGTCTCGCCATAAATTCCTACTGAAAGTCTTGAGAGCTCTAGATGACTAGGAACAAAGGGAGAAGATGATTTAGATGCCTATGAAAAGGTTCGGCAAACATGCCAGAAAATCTGGAGTCAGGAGAGATTCCAGAACATATCACCTCAAGGACACGCCAACCTAATCTGAGAGGCCAGATTAAAACACAGGAGTCAATTTTACTGCAGGATTACGGTGTTTGTGAATAACGCTTTAAAAATGCAGTTTCGTCAACACTGTATGCACATGGAAAAGCAAAAGTGAAGAATCTGCCCCCACCAACTCTAGTGAAAAATACAAATGCTGTTACTGGGGAGAAAGATTCAAGTGGGCTTCTTTTTCAAATTCAGAAGAGTAAAACAGTCCTGGTTTATTTTCTTTCAGCTTTGCAGTATGAAGCTTTTCTTCCAGCTATGGAGAGGTCTTGACTTCTATATGACCTTTGAAAATTCTCCATCCAAACCTTTGATAGATATTAATATTTTCTAATTTTCATTTCAGAGCTGGGATCCTGGCCCAGATTATTAAAAAGTCTCCATCCCAATTTTGATTTCACGGTTGGGTTTCTAAACCAGATTACTAAAAGACCCAGTTTTTACCACTGAATCTACTTTTATTTCGTTCCATAGTTTGGAGGAAGGTAGGTGTTTGTATATAATAAATATTTTTTCCTCTTATTTCAGTTAAGTTTTAATAATAATTCTATCCTAAAATCAGGATCATTTAAAAAATTTTCTCATCCTCACATTTGGAAGCATCATGCCCTGTTGACTCAGAGGATTTCACATATTGTCAAATGAACTGTTCTCAAGTCCCCTTAAAGAGAAGATTCCAGAACCACTTGTTTAAACTAACCCCCAGCATTTTCTTACCTTGTCAGAGGTATCTGCAAAGCCCCCCAAACACCCAACAGGATATGATTCCCCCCCTTGAGAAAAATGTGTTCGCTATGAACGTTTTAGTAAAACATTGCAAACTTCTTTCTCTCTTCAGCTTTTGTGCAGATTCCCAGCGAAGTGAATAGCTCAAATAAAGTTGGAGCACAAAAGACTTTGTTTCCTAGGTAACTTCCAAAAAGAAAAAAAAGTTTGGTGCATGCAAAAAGAGAGACAGAAAGCGAGGGAGAGAGAGAGAGCAAGAGCCAGAGAGAAACCCCCACCACCAGAGCCACATTTTGTAGGCGATTCCTTCCTTGAATAACAATGGACTGGAAACAAAGAAAGAATAGTGACCTGACTACAGGCTCTGACCAGGAGCCAAAGGCACTTTTTATTTAATGGTGACAGGGACAATTGGCTGCCAGAGAATCCTTTTGTCCTGTTCCCTTTTTGTTTTTTGATTTGAGAAGCTGAACCTTTACAGTTCTGATAAATATAGGGCAAGTTGGAATTTCTTTCCTCCTAACTACAAAGTCCAGGAGCGGCATTAGGTGATGCCCATCTTGAAGAGAGCTTTAAATGCAATTTGGGGGGCGGGGGAAGTAAGTGGGGAAAAAAGCCAATGGCATGGATGTCTACATTATATTTTATTTAATTCAAGTTAGGAAAATACCATTCTTTAAGTTGATTTAAAAGGAAACAGTTAGTTAGAAACAACAGAGTTTGCCATAAAGTTAAAAGAGAGAAGGAAGTGAAAGTGTCTGGGGAGATGGGATAGGGCTGTGACGGAATGTTCTCGGAACCAGTACCTTTCTACTCCATGGGGTCATGTGGCAACACTCAGTGGGGGAGGGCGAACGGGTGCTGTTAAACTATGAATATAAAATGCAAAAAAAGAAAAAATTAAAAACATGCACACAACACACAGTATACCCTGGTTAAGCCACATCTGTGATATTAATGAATGAATATACTGGGATAACTCCTTCCTTCCTTCTTTCCTTCCAAATGCGTCTTTATTTTATGAGAAGTAGCATAAATACAGTTGTGCCGCATAGTAATGTTTCAGTCAATGACGGACCGCATATACAAGAGTGGTCCCATAAGATTAGTACCATACAGCCTAGGTGTGTAGTATCCCCATTGTTAAGCAGCACGTGACTGTAGTGGTTAAGAGGACAGACTCTGGAGCTAGGCTGTCTGGGTTCAAATCCTGGTTCTACCACTTATTTGCTGTGTGACCAGGGGCAATTATTCAACCTCTCTAAGTTCAGTTTCCTTATCTCTAAAATAGGGAGAAAATGGTATATACCCTGCAGGGCTGTTTTGAGGATTAAATGAGTAAATATACGTAATAGACTCAGAAGAATCCTGGCACTTAATATGCTCTACATGTTGGTGTCAACTACTACTACTACTACTACTGCTATTATTATTATCCTTACCTTGTAGCTGGGAAATACCTGTGAAATTGTCTTTCCAATTTGTAACTTTCTATCTTTTAGATACCAATCCCATTTGCTAATTTGGGAAAGATTGAATTATTTTCTTTCCTTAGAGTGAGTTTATTTCCCAGTGAACTACTTGGAAGAAAATTTCCTGTGTATAATTTCCTCCTTTGGACTGCTCAAAATTTGCCTCTTCTTTATATTCAGACTATATTTGAAGACAGGGCCGGTTTCACGGACGTGTGACCTGTGCAGTCATAGAGGTCCCCGCATTTAGAAGGACTCCACGCTTGGTTTAATGCTGTCACTGTCTTGACATTCTTAGTTTTTCAGTAAGGGGCCCTGCATTTTCATTTGGCACTGGGCCCCACAAATTATGTAGCCAGTCCTGTCTGGAGAATAATCTGGTAACTAGAATCTCCTTTTCAGGATCTACTGAGAAGGATATTGAAACTCTTTTAAACTCTAAACCGTGTCAGCCTGGGATTCAATTAGGCCTCTATTACAGCTTTCCATGTAGCATTGCTTTAATGTAACATGAATTATGGCTGGATGTCTCTTTTTCACCTATTAGATTATGAATTTCTAGAGGTCAGGAGCCATATTTAACTTTCCTTTCAGTGTTCCATGGTGCCAGCAAAATGCCTCCGCACTGTAAGAGCTCAGCAAATTGTTTGTGCACTTGAATGATACCAGCTCTGTGTGCATTAACAGTGACAGGAAACCCAAATAAAGCAAGGGTCCTGCTCAAGATCTCAAGAGGAAGCAGACACCACAGAATCCCAGGGTATTTACCATCTTAGTGCCAATAGGTGAAAACATATAGAGGAAACCACAAGCAACACTTGGAGGCTCAGTACTGATGTATGCTGATTCTAGTTATTCTTCAGCCAATGACAGACAGGCATTTAGGGGGGAGCACTCAAGGTCTAATTCTATCCTAAGTTTCTAAATTTTGACTAACAAGGTTGCTCATTAATTTTTAAGCAAAGCAAATGCCATCTCCTCAGACTCAGTTAACTTTGATCTAGATCTTATTTAAGACAAATGATTTTGTAGTGTCTTTGGCTCCCTCGCTGAAATTGATCATTTTAATAGATGTGGTGTATGTGGCCTGAGTTCACGCACTAACCTGGCTGTCTCGTAAGAATCAGTCACAGATAGTGATGTGCAGGTCTCAAGTATGACACAGGGCTGCGCAAAATAGAAAACTCAGGGAAGCGGGAGGCAAAACCTACGTGGAAAAGGAACCTGTTTCCAAGAAACCAGACTTTGGTGTCTCATGAAAGGATTTCAAAAAATTACACAGCAGGAAGCTGCAGGGCAGAAAACCTATTAATGATATTAATATTAATATATTAATTTTGGTAGTTTGTCTTAAATCTCCTAAGTTATCTCTCCTATTGAATACTTTTTCCAGGAGTGAGGGATGAGTTGTTTTTCTTTTCATCTGTTTGATAACCACCCCTGTCCCATTAAACAAGCATGAGTTAACACCTGGAAATAACTAAGGATGGCAAATCCAGAGAGGGAGCTCAGACCATTCAGTTCTGGTCACCATAATTAAGTCAAAGTCTCCATGGGCTACACTCCACAGAAGAGTCCTTCTCAGCTAATCGGCATCTCCACTATTTTGATAGTAGCTCCTACCTCCAACTTATGAGGGCTGGAACTAGGTACTCTTGAGCTTGTATGTAGAAGGGTTGTGTTCTTTGGTTCTACCACCTAGACACAAGCACACAAGTCCCTGCAGATGATCCATTGATTTAGAGTATTTAAGTTCATAATGTTGTTCAAATGGGCTATGGTTTTATTTCTGCCATGAATTAGTAACTGCCTTAGTGTAGTGTTTTAAAGCATCCTCTTTCCTGAGTGTTTGGTCCAAGGAACTAAAATCATTTTGATTATTTCTGATTAGATTTTTATATGATGAATGTAATAATCAGTTCATAGAATTTTTTTTTTCTAAATTATCTAAGAAATAAAACTTCAAGAGAACTCCTCCCTCAGGGCATCTCTGCATGACCCAGCATGCCACTCCTTAACAGGTATAGATAGATAAGGTTAGGAAAAGCTACATGCTAGTGAAGCTTGTATGAACTAAATTATTCTTTAAAGGCTCTATTTAAATGAATCCTATTGCTTATTCAGAGTACAGCTTATAAGGACAGGAGCCATTTTTTGTTCATAACTCTATTCCTACTGCCTCAGTAATACTTGATAAATATTTGTTGTCCTGCTACCATCCCCCCATAGGCCTGGCATAAGCAAACAAAAATCCTCTCTAAAGAAATAATATCAAGTTATTTTCACATATAATTTTTCAGTACAACATCCAGCACAAAGTCAAAGCTAACAAGGCAAGGAAGATACAGGACAGCATGAGAAAGAAGCATCCAAAACAACAGACGATAGAAGCAGACCCATAGGGACTCCTGCTTTTGGAATTATCGCTCCATGCAGGAGTACAGTGAACAACCTTGACTTCCCCAGAATAAGTGTGTGGGAAGACTGTGAGACCACTTGTTCATTCATTCAAGGGCATTTCTTTGATGAGGTCAAAATCAGCCCCAGTGGAAACAAATTGTCAGATTAAAAATAATATCTCCCTCATGAGTTCGCTATATAATTCTTTTGACTTTTCTATACTTTTGAAATTATTCATAATAAAGTGTTGGAGAAAAATGCAAAAAAAAATTTTCTCCTTCCTTTTCTAGTCTCCCATTCTGGCCCTCCTACCACTGATTTTGAAAGGCTTCAGACTCCAAGTCATACCATTTTAAAATCAGCTACCACCAGTCATGCCCATCTTGTCCCTGATAAAAGATGCTTCTTGGATGCTTTCACTCTATTTCTGTCCCTGCTGGCCCCATCACTTATACCCCCAAATCCTTTCCCTAGTTTCCCATGAAACTGCTTCAATAAAAGCTAGAGTTATACTTATGACTAGTGTTCAGAACAAGAAATAACAGACATTATACTCAAAAGCAGTCAAAGAAATTTCTTTGGTGAATAATGAAGGAATATTTTCTAAACCCTAATCTTTCTTGTGGGGTGTGTGTGAGAAAAGTTCATTTCTTCACTTTTGTGGCTATGAACAAGCATTTCTCTAAAGATCTCAAGATTTTCCCCAACCTTTCTCTTACTGCCAAAATAAAAAAAATAATCCCTCCATTCCATATTTTACTTTCTTTCTGATTTTATTTTATATGCTGATGGGGGCTTATTTTGCTTCAAAACTTTCCAAAAGACATCTGTTAAAATGTTGTGGGTATTCCAGCAGGAAATGTTTTGAAAAATTGGCTTTGGTTTGTGATCTAACTGATACCACATGGCATTTATAGAAGTCGACTTTCAGAGCTGATTTATTGCTATCATGCTGTCTTAAACATGAGAAATATTTACTAGAGAATGGATGTGGTGGTACATCTGAATACAGGAATAAAACCTTAGAGTGAAGACGTCATGTCCATTGCAAGCCACACTGGCTTCCTAGTGAGGTGATCTGGGCTCTTATTCTCATTCTGCCCTGGGGCTTGTTTGTCCTTTGATCAAGTCCCTGCATTTCTGAACATATTATGGCCTATCTGTGAGATGGAGGGTACCTTGTCTGCCTCAAATTTTTTCTTCACTGGAGTGTGTGTAAGTGTTGTCCATAAATATGAAGTGCTTTGACCTTTCTGGAAGGCTTAAAGGAGTCCAGCAATACCTTCTTCACATACCACTCTTGCTGCTACAATTACAGAGTGCTTTTATTACGTTGAGATGGTCCTGAAGTCTCCTACTGGCTGGCACTATGCTCTTATCTTCCAAACATGTTTAATAACATCATTTTTAACTCATACCATGCTGCTCCCTTTCTTCTCTCCTCAACTCCAACTTTCACCAAAGTAAACAACCATGGGAAAACAGAATGATGAGGTACGTACGAGTTTAGGACACATCTTATGCTTTCTCTGTCCTAAGCCTTTCTTCCCTTTCCTGGTTTATCCTTTGTCACCACTCTCTCCCAGGCAGCCAGGGCCTCCATGCTCCCCCAGAGCCTGAATGCAGCATCCCCGAGTGCCCAAACCCTTCACACTGCTCTCTCAGCCAGCTGTACAGCTAGCAGGAAGCCTGCAGCACTCACATGAATGTGCTGAGAACTCCTAGTGATAAATCCAAAGGAATAAATCTCTGTAGCAGAATTCTAGACCATGGTTGGTAGGCCAGGAGGGAGAGATTTGGTGACAGGTACCTACTGGGTTCTTCTCCTTCTTTGAACCACTTTATGTATTAATATCTATTTAAAACAACAAAGTACATAAATATTCAGACTGGGAAAAATAGCCTTATCATTGATAAGTCTGATTTTCCAAATCATACCCATATTTCTCTTGCCTGACAGATATTGCCACCACCACTTCCTCAGTTCTCCCGAGCAC